ATTGTTGTTGTTGTTGTTGTTGTCGCCGCGTTCTTCACATTTAGGAATCTTCTCTTCTTTCAATATTATCTGCTGTTCTGGCCTTGCTTGTAGGTGTTTACAAGTAAATAGGCTCCTTACAACTGCCCATGAATGTGGTTTCTCTTCTTTCTGGCCATGGCTGCTGCTTCTTGATTTGGAGCTTTGTTTGGAGTGTTTAATACTGGGATTTCTTTTGCTTTTGGCCATGGCAAGAAAGAGAGAATAATAATAATACTGTAAAAAGAGTAATGTTGGGGGTGTGGTTTTTATAAGTAAAAAGTGATGGGCATCTCTCTTTAGTAGTCTCAGAGCAGAGTCGAGGCCTTTTGCTTTAGAATGATGAAGTGAAAACAGGTGGGAGAGTGGAGTGTGGAGTAAAAAAAGGGAAGAGTCCTTTTCTTGTTATGCAGAATTCTGGATTGTGGTTTTGTGGACCTTGCTCAGTAATAAGTACTGTATGTCTATACAATTGTTCGCCTCTTTAACTATCACCGGTTGCTAGGGCACCTCAACATCGAATCGAAACCGTTAATCGAACCGAACAGATGGCTTATTGACTTATTGGTATCAGATTATTGTGTAATGGATGGGGAATGGATTGAGATTTTATAATTAATGGCTTAACAGTTTGGGGGCAAATTACTCAATTTTCTTATCGGGTAAACCGTTAATCCATTAAGAATTTTTATATTTATACTTTTACCCCTATATGTATAAACTTGTTACTACATTGTTGCATAAGTAGTTGTACATATAATGATAGAACTGTTTGTAGCTAATGGCAGTAGTCTCCGGTTCTCATGAATTATGAGTGGACATGAGTTGCATTCCACTCTAGGCCATAGTATTACGTTTGTGGATAATAATGCTAATAGTATTGACTGTTTTAAAAACTAACAGAGATTGTTTGAACTATGCATTTGGCCGTTTGGTATTGATTGTTCAAAAAATTTCAATATGGTTTAGGCGAAAAACCGCTCGATAATCATAATTCCGATACCAATCTGTTCGTTGTCTTATTGGATGGCTAGCGGATTACTATATTTATAATCTGATAACCGATAAGCCGAACCGTTAAGCGTAATTATCCGCTCGATAAGCACCCCTACTGGTTCCTACCACGGTTCCATTTTGTTTGACATTAATTTCTTATTATATCCTTCTAAAACAAATGATATATTTTATATTTTCTTAGTAAAAAATTTTTATAAGCACACCAATTTTATGTCATGTTTAACTTCATAGCTTTATAAATATTTTGGTATATTTAATATCACAAGTTTCAACAATTTTGATAAGAGAAGATTGCTCAAGTAGTTAGCATCCTTTATTTTCAATCCTAAAGTTGTGGGTTCAAGTCCCTTGGGAGCAAAATTGGAAGCTCCTGACAAAGACATTCAATTGTTGACCAACTATCACAGGATATGTTGTTCCCTCAATTTTATTTTTATGTGACCACTTCCCTTTTTATTTTACTCTAAACAGAATGATACGCTTTGTATGTTTAGAAATAATTTAACTTTAAATCTTATATTTTATCATTAGTGAGATGATTTATAACCTGACTTATTTAGACAACATGTTTCAAAAGTATTTTTTTTTTTACTAATATATCCAATCAAATTATGACACATATTTAAATTTTTTAGACAAAAGATACTTTGAGATTGTGAGCTATTAACAAATTTCAATTCTGACATACTTTTGGTTCTACAAGAAGTTTCTTTTTTTATTTGTCGAGTTTCATTATTCGGGCAAAGAATCAGCAATTGAACTCCATTGATGATCAATAGAAAAGGAAAGCAAACTTCTTATAGTATAGAAGCATACATTTTACAAGCCGATCAAGAGAGGAAATGAACGGAAAAACTAATATGCTTAGTGCATTCTGAATTATGTAATTTGAATTGCTCATTTTCTACCACAGTAGATAGGAATAGGAACATCCACATCTAATTTCTTGAATTGACCAATCAGCCACACTATTTCTGTAACATTAAAAGGTAAACTTTTGTATTCAACTTAATCTGAACTTCTGGGAAATAGTTTTAAGTTTTTTTAGATTTCCAAGAAATTAAGAAGTCTCCAAGCTTTACCAAATAACATGTGACTGATCGACCACTAGCTTGTATTGGGACAAGCAGCCCAATCTGCATCGCATAAACAGAGTAGAATATTGTGAGGATAAAAGGATTCCGAGACTTGGAGCCCTTAATAACTCTAAGAGCAGCATCCATGTGAGAAGTATCAGGGGAATATATTAACTAAGGTACGTAAAAAAGGGCAGCCCGGTGCACTAAGCTCCCGCTATGCACGGGGTCCGGGGAAGGGTCGGACCACATTGTACTGTAAAAGAAACAGCTGTATAGTCTAGTAGTTAATTTAATACTTTGTAATTAGATGAAGTTTGTAGATAAAAAGGGGTTGGTTAGTTAATTAGTTAGCAGTATAAATAGAAGTTAGTTATATCTGTACAGGAGCTTCAATCAGTTAGAACAGTTGATTTCTAATACAGAGAATGAGTCTCTCACTTCTTCTTCACCGACTTTCTTCTTCTTCTGCCATGGCTGCCTAGCTCAACATGGTATCAGAGCTTCAAGGCTAGATCGAGTAACTCAACAGCTTCACGAGAGAAGATTGCTGGTTAATAGCTTCCTTTACTTTGTTCTATTTTAGTTTTTTCTAGCAAATTCCCTGAAGTTAGGGTTTGTCTGATTAGTGTCGATTTCTGCTGAAATTGAGTCATTTGCGATCTAAATCATCTCATTTAGAGAAGAGCGATACGATCTATAATATCTACAATGGCAATCGGTGATGGAACCTCGACTTCAACTCCTCCTATGGCGACTGCAACTCAGGCTCAAGCATTACTTCCTCCAGGTCTAGTACATCACAATCATCCTCTGTACATTCATCCTTCAGATACTTAAAGATCTGTTCTTATCTCAATTCAACTTCAAGGTTCTGAAAATTACTCAATTTGGAGTCGGTCAATGAAGATTGTATTGCATGGTAAAAACAAACTAGGTTTTGTTTTAGGAACCTATAGAAGAAAAATGTATGATTCTACTTTGCATGAACTCTGGGACAGATGCAACGCCATTGTTCTAGCCTGGATAATAAACACAGTATCTCCTAGTCTAATTAGTACTGTGATTTATGCATCCGATGCTCATAAGGTGTGGGAAGACCTCAAAGAGAGGTTTGATCCTCTAGAGCTTGTTATCTGCATAAAGAGATTGTTGCATTAACCCAAGGTATATCTTCTGTGTCTATGTATTTTTCGAAACTTAGGGAACTGTGGGATGAGTATGAGACACTAGCTCCTCCTCCTTCCTATGGATGTCCAGAGTCTATCAAACATGCTGAACACTATCAATTGCAAAAGCTATATAAGTTCTTAACAGGACTGAATGATTCCTATGAGAATGCTAGGGATCAGATTCTTATGACAAGGCCTTTATCAAACATAAACCAAGCATATAATATGATAGTAAATGTAGAAAGCCAAAGGAGAAGTGGCAGTGGTGGAATTAATGCTAGCATCAGTGTTGATGGAAATGATGCAACTGCTCTACTAAGCAACAGAGGAAATGACAATGGCAACAATTCTGGTGGTGGTAACATCAATTACAAAGATAAGACAAACTACAGTTCTGGAAGGTCTACACTTCAATGTGACTACTACAAGTTTTAAGGGTCACACAAGGGAAAACTGCTACAAGCTGCATGGATATCCAGCTGATTTCAAATACAGGAGGAAGGGAGGCACTCCAAACACTTATGCTAACAATGTATATGGTGCAGGAAATCAGGGATTTGAAGCTCAAGGATCATCTCAACAAACAGCACTTGCTTCCAATAGAGCACCACCAGCTCCAGTTCAGTTCTTCACTTCAGAACAATACAATCAAATTCTGCAAATGCTAAGCAAGGGAAAAGAGGGAGAACCTGTGGCTAATGCAGCTCAAGTGGGAACAACAGGTATTCCTACTGCTCTAATGTCTAGTCTAGGAAATAACTGGATAATAGACACAGGGGCTACAAATCACATGGTACATCAGTTAGGCTTGCTTCACAAATTCAAAGAACTGTCTCAAATGGGTAAAAATAAGGTACATCTACCTACTGGAGAGCAAGTGACTATCACTAATACAGGAGAAGCTCATATATTTCATGACAAAACAATTGGAGAAGTCTTATATATACCTGAATTCAAATACAATCTATTATCAATATCAAAGATCACCAAGGAATTACAATGTTGTGCAACATTCTTTCCTGACTTCTGTATGTTTCAGGAACTCTCAACTGGGAAGGTGATAGGGATTTGTAGAGAAGAGGATGGCCTGTACATTCTAAGGAACAGAGGAAACTTACAGCAACTCTCTGAAAATAAGGATGTCATCAGTCAATAACCTGTAAATACCATTTCCAGTTCAATAAGTGAAGCTAGTTCCAATAATAGAACTAAGATTGTTGATTTGTCTCTTTGGCATAGAATACTAGGACATGCTCCTTCAAGAGTGTTGAGGAATATTGAAAGCTTGTGTAACTCTCAACTGAATAATCATGTCCTATTGCTAAACAGGCAAGACTAACCTTTCTTCTAAGTACTACCTGTTCTGCTAAGCCTTTTGATCTTGTGCATGCTGATGTATGGGGTCCTTATAAGGTTCCCACACATGATGGTAGGAGATATTTTTTTGACTCTAGTAGATGATTTCTCTAGATATACATGGCTCTTCCTAATGCCTACTAAAGCAGAGTCTATTGTAGTGCTAAAGAACTTCCTAATATATGTTAGAACTCAATTTGGCTGTGGAGTGAAATGCCCCAGAACAGATAATGGTACATAATTCTTTAGTGATCAGGTGAATAATTTGCTTAAGGAGTGTGGAACTGTACACCAAAGTTCTTGTGTATATACACCACAACAAAATGGTGTTGTAGAGAGGAGACATAGATATATCCTAGACATGGCAAGAGCACTAAGATTTCAAGCCTTTGTACACTTAAGGTTTTGGGGAGAGTGTGTATCCACAGCTGTATACCTGCTCAACAGATTGCCCACTGTGTTGTTGAAAGGTAAGTCGCCTTTCCAAAAGTTGTTTAACAGAGCTCCTTCACTACAGCATCTCAGAGTATTTGGTAGCTTGTGCTATGCTACCAATGTCAATAAGGATGATAAGTTTAGTCCAAGAGAAATTCCAGCAGTCCACCTTGGATATTACACAACTTAGAAAGGATATTATCTCTATGACTTAGCCTCCAAGGAGTTCTTTGTAAGCAGAGACGCTGTCTTTCAAGAAGACATCTTTCCCTTCAAGCACACAAACACTGGTCTTTTTCCTATATTCCCTGTGGTGGAACTGGTTGAACCTGATCCTCCTAAGCCTTCTACTGTGTCTGCTCCAGTACATTCTCCTTCAAACGTCACTTCTGATGATGCTTCTCAGTCTCTTTCATCATCTTCTGCCAGGGATCCCTCTCCTCAGCCAGTACAACCTAGAAGATCCTCAAGGGAATCAAGGCCTCCTGTATGGATGGGAGATTATATTGTTCAACAGAAATCCTCCTCTTGTCCATATCCACTGTCCAACTATGTGATATATGACCATCTCACTCTTGCCTACATGTCTTCTCTAGCTGCTTATTCCGCAATTATAGAACCCAAGACCTATGCTGAAGCCAGTATTGATCCATTATGGGTGGATGCCATGAAGTCTGAAATTTCAGCTCTTGAGAGCAATAATACATGTATAGTTGTAGATCTTCCTCCAGACAAAGTTCCTATAGGGTGCAAGGGGGTGTTCAAGGACAAGTACAAGTCAACATGAGAAGTGGAAAGATATAAAGCTAGGCTGGTTGCCAAAGGCTACAACCAGCAGGAAGGGTTGGACTACACTGAAACATTCTCCCCTGTAGCTAAGATGGTCACAGTAAGGTCTATAGTGGCTCTTGCTGCTGCTTCTCATTGGTCTGTGTTTCAAATGGATGTTCATAATGCATTTTTGCAGGGAGATATATATGAAGAAGTCTATATGCACATTCCTGATGTCTTTTCAAGCCAGGGGGAGTATCAGAAGGTGTGCAAGTTAAACAAGTCCTTGTATGGACTTAAACAAGCTCCTAGACAGTGGAACTTAAAGCCGACAGAAGCTTTAACAAATCTAGGATTTGTACAGTCACACTATGACTATTCTTTGTTCACACACAAGAAGGGAGCAGATTTGGTGATTGTACTTGTCTATGTTGATGATTTGCTTGTGACTGGCAATAATCTAAACTTGGTTAAGAAGGCTAGAAAGGACTTGCAGAACAAGTTTAAGATGAAAGACTTAGGGGAATTGAAGTATTTCCTTGGCATAGAATTTTCAAGATCAGAGAAAGGCATCCATATGTGTCAGAGGAAATATGCACTTGAGTTGTTGTCTGTGTCTGGTCTATCAGAAGGAAAACCAGCACTCACTCCATTGGAATTCAATCACAAGCTTACTTCCATAGAGTTTGATAAGTTTTTCAACAAGGAGGACTTGTCTGATGACAGGTTGCTTGAAGACAGAAGCGGCTATCAAAGATTAGTAGGAAGATTGTTGTATTTGACCATGACTAGACCTGACATAGCATTTGTGGTACAGGTTCTGAGTCAGTTCATGTATGCTCCCAATCAGTCACATCTAGATGCTGCTATGAGAGTTATCAGGTACATTAAGAACAATCCTGTTCTTGGGCTATTTCTACCGTCAACTGGCAGTCAAAAGCTGGTTGCCTTCTGTGATTCAGATTGGGGAGCTTGTGTAGAGACAACAAAGTCAGTTACAGGTTATGCTGTGAAGTTTGGAGATGCCTTAATCTCCTGGAAATCGAAGAAGCAAGTAACAATTTCACGAAGCTCAGCTGAAGCAGAGTTCAGAAACATGGCCACTACTGTTGCAGAAATAAAGTGGTTGGTTGGATTATTTGAGGAGTTGGGAGTATCAGTTGAGCTTCCAGTTCAACTTCACTGTGATAGCAAAGCTGCAATTCAAATTGCAGCTCATCCTATTTTTCACAAAAGAACCAAACACATAGATATAGACTGTCATTTTGTAAGGGAAAAGATTCAAGAAGGGATGATTTAAACTCAGCATATTGGCACAAGAGAGCAACTGGCAGATATCTTCACCAAGAGTTTATGCAGTCCACAACATGATTACTTACTCTGCAAGCTGGGAATGAAGAGTCTGTTTTCATCCCTCAGCTTGAGGGGGAGTGTAGAAGAAACAGCTATATAGTCTAGTAGTTAATTTAATACTTTGTAATTAGATGAAGTTTGTAGATAAAAAGGGGTTGGTTAGTTAGTTAGTTAGCGGTATAAATAGAAGTTAGTTATATCTGTACAGGAGCTTCTTAGAATCAGTTAGAACAGTTGATTTCTAATACAGAGAATGAAGCTCTCACTTCTTCTTCACCGACTTTCTTCTTCTTCTGCCATGGCTGCCTAGCTCAACATGTACGCAGTCTTACTCTGCATTTCTGTAAGAGGCTGTTTTCACGGCTCGAACCTGTGACCTCCTGGTACGCCAGTTACGCCAAGGTTCCCCTTCACTAAAGTACGTACTACACTAGAAAAGAAATATTAGGCCTAGTAACGAACTATTATGTAGAGCAACCTTTCCAGTGAGCATTTCATAACTTGCAATAAGATAATTCTGTTGTAATCCAATATGAGTGTCAAATAATAGTGATGTGAGTTTTTGATTTAATTCAATGGGAGACTTAATGGGCCTTGCACCTGCTAAGATAACATCTGCATGCATGCGGTAAAGCTCCAATGCATACTTCCTTGATGCATGAGAACACTTTCTTGACTTTTGGCAAACTCAGTGCCCAAGAAATGGAATTGTCCAGATGACTTTGGACAAAATCTGAGGCAATGGTGAGCTTACCATTCCAATGTCATGAAACATATTTTAACACATATAGGGACTTGAGAGCAGTTTGCATTATATGTTTCCTCCATGCAGTAGAGTCATATACACTTGTTCATGTATATCACATTGTAGGAAAGTATTATAGACGTCCATTCATCATATTGCTTAGCTGCAACTATGGATAAGAGTCACCATTTTTATCACTAGTGTGAGTGTTTCTTGATATTCTATTCTTTCCTTCTCATTTTCCACTCGCCTCGCTTTAAACCTTTTTATTTCTTAATTAGCTTGATACTTTGTTTAAGTTTGGCATTCAATGGCCAGCACTGTAAGGAATAAGGTTTTCGAAACAGTAAGCTCCTTACCCAAAGAAAGCAAACTTGCGAAAGCAGATACACTAATTAAATGTGCTTTGCTCCATGGAGTCCTATGTTAATTGATTGGTGATGGTTCTAACTTTTCAAAGTTTCCACAATGAGTTTAGGACATCCTCCTGTTCTTTGACTCTCTGGTTTTGGTTGAGTGCTTTATATTACAATATACAAGTGTAGGCTCCCATTTCTTCCGTACGTTTTGTCAAGTAATTTGTTGGAGAAGAAGATGTTTCTTACGTGAAAAACTTGTAGTATCATTCTCACAAGAAACTATGGTGTGTTTGGTACGAACGAAAATAATTTTCAGAAATGTTTTAAAATATTTTTTAATTTTTCCGTGTTTGGTTGACTTAAATATTTTGGAAAATATTTTTCTTATTATGAACTCATTTTCCTCCAAATGTTTTCCTTATCAAGAGAAGGGAAAACATTTTCCAAAACTCCTTTTCAACCTTCCTCGCCCTGTTCCCGCCCTCACCAACCCACCCCCACACCCCCACCCACCTAACCCCACCCTACGCCTAAACACCCCACCACCTATCCAAAAAAGCTCTTTTTTCAAATTTCAGTTTTTTTCCGTCACCCCCCCCCCTTCCCCCAAAACAAAATTATTTTTTTTTACTTTCTTTTGTAATTTCAATTTTCTGTTTCTTCGTTTTTCTGCACCCCACCCCCTACCCCACCCCACCCCCCATTTCCCTCCCCCACTCCCGCAAATACAAAGTTTTTTTTTTACTTTTTTTTTTTTGTAGTTTTCAAATTTCTGTTTTTTCGTTTTTCTTCACCACCTACCCCACCCCACTCCCCACTCCCCCACCCTATCACCCCGCACAAAAATTAGCGTTTTTTTTTACTTTTTTTTGTAATTTCAAATTTCTATTTTCGTTTTCTGCACACCCTTCTCCCGCCCTTCCCCCTTCTACCCCCCCCCCCCCCCCCAGCCCCGGAAAAAAAATATTATATTTATATATTTGCAATTTTAGTTTTTTTATCTTTCGGTTTACAAGTTCAAAATTTTACAAGTTCCAAAGTTATGAATTCGGAGGTTTATTTGTTTGGAAGTTTACGGGTTTAGCAATTATAAAGTTTATGGGTCGAAATTTCGCGGTTTCGAAAGTTTAGCGATTCGAAAGTTTGTGAAATTTGTGGGTTCGGAAGGTTGCTGGTTCGAAAGTTCATGGCTTCATGTTTATTGTATCTAAATTATTTATGAATACTCTTGAGAAGTTATTTTCCTTAATTTGCATACCAAACACCGGAAAATGAATAAGATTATTACTTGTTTTCCAAGAAAACATTTTACGTTGTACCAAACACACCCTATACTTTATCAGCAGCACCTAGCTTAGCCAAATAGTCAGCCACAGGCTAAGGCAATGAACTTTCTTTTCTTAGGCAATAAACTAACTAATACGCAAGATAACAGCTCCATAAACTGCCTAATCTGAACTACCAACTCTGCAAATTTGATTCAACATATAGGAAGGCCCTCCATAATAAGAAATTCTCCAAATTAGTTATAAAAGCATAGCAAATCCAAATGACAAGTCAATATGATTTTGTAACTCCTCTTAATTTTTCTCTCACCCGACAACAACTTATTGCTTTTATGAAATCCATAGTCTTTACCGTGCTGGCCATTGGATGCCAAACTTATTCCTTTGCAAGTTCTATGTACAACAACAACGACCCAGTTGTTTACCCTAAAAACCGAGTAACAATTAAACTTATATTGTGGTTTTAAAGTTATGTGATGTGATCCGATACCAATTGATAAACAAGGAGTTAAGTATATAAATTGAAGAAGTAAAGTATATCAAACCAGTGTGCAAGCAAGTCTTGACCTCGAGTTAATATGACCTCGAGGTAGGTTAGTAAGAACAATTAAACAATAAGGCAATTCTGATGAATAGTAAGCAAGAAAGTGAGAAATGTATATTCCTGTTTCAATGGATCTTCCGTTACAAATGATTGGGATCCCCTTTATATAGTAGGGGAACCCTAAATAAGGTACACTTCTAATTATAGTAGGGAATCTTATTATACAGTTATCTAACCGCCAAGTACAAATTCATTTCGGAAATTTACGCCGGGATCTTCGGGCTGTTGCGGGAATCTCGCTCTTTCTGTTAATAAAACATAACGGTATTATCTCGAGGTTGGTCATACTCGGTCTCGGTGTTCATCGAGCATTTCGATTTTCAAGTCTTGTAATCCGCAATCGGGCTCGAGCCCGATCCATTTTGAACTTAGGCTCGAAGAGACTCTTCGAGCCTACGAAATCGGGCATACCTGAGTTTGACCGTATACAGATAGTCCCCGCGTTTCTTAGAGTAAGATGATAAGAAACGATTTGATCCTCGATCCTCTGATGCCTCGATTATGATGTCAATCCTGTGACGTCAGCGACAGAAGTGATTGAAGGGTCGTGTCCGCATAGTTCCCAAGGCCATTAATTGAAGGCGGTTGATGGTCGGTCATTAGCTTCCTCAAACCGTTGAAGCGGCCACTATAAATAAGCCAATCTCTCAATCTTTACAATCTTTACAA